GTAAAAAATTATTCACCTGATCTGTATGACATCTCAATTGACTGGTAATAACAGATAAAATCGGCTAGCTAGAAACTGTCACTATTAGGCCAATTTTAAATGTAATTGGCTAATTATATAGGGTCACTATAGCAATAGATCGCTAATTATAATTTTTCTATTTAAATATAAAATCACATGTTATGTATATATTGTATCCCAGATAGGAATCCACCTGATTCAGAATCCAGTTATCCTAATTTAGAATCGGGGTAGCTAGATTTGGAATTCGTACGTGGGTTACCCGAATTAAGAATTAAAATCTAACTGTATATGTTAGGCCATACAAATTTGATTACTTGGTTTTCATAACATGAAACTTTTAAATAGACCCGGCCGGCTGGCTTTTTTTTTTAAATTTCATATATAAAATTTTACAAAATTTATATTAATTTTTTTTTTAAAACCCACCCGGTTATTAAAACATATAAAAATTTTTTTTTTGAAATTTTCAAATTTTGACCCGGCCAGGTTATGAAAACCATTTAATTAATTTTGCATGGCCTTATGTAAAATACAATAAAAAAATTCAATAAAATTCTATTACCATTGTTGATATCTTTATTTTATTAATTAATTAAATATCACTATTCATATTTAACTCATATTTACTTTATTCATCAAATATTAATAAAATAAATAAATACAATATATAATTTTTTTTTTTTTATATATTAAAAAGTGAGGTCTTGCTTATATCTTTATTAAATAATTTATATAAGTGATTATAAAGAAACAAAACTAAATAAAAACTCAATTCATATATAAATAAATAAATATAAACTATATGCAAGAATAAAAGCTCAGACTAATTATTTATTTGCAACCTAAATCTACTAGAGTGGTCAAGACTCACCTAGATTTGAATGCTTAATATATGATTAGTAGAAATGCTGAACTGGATCCACAAAGTAGACCAGATATTAAATTTACGTTTAGCTAGCCCACTGGGAGGCAAGAAAAGGAGTCAGAATGTAGTTGATCAGGTAAGTTTTATATGTGAAAGTGTTATGAGTTCTAGTATAGAGATGAGTAGAAAATTGGTAGCTAACTTGAGTGGAGGTAAAATTTGATAATATTTGGTATGCTTTTTTCCAAGTAAAAAAGTTAATACAGTATGGTTTCCATATTTGTTTGTAGATTTGATTAGAAATTTTGATAAGAATTTTAATAATTAGCTGTGAAGCTATTGAATAAGAAATATCAAATGGTAATATGCATTGGACAAGCAGAGAAAGAATAAGACCTTTAAGAGTAGAATAAAGGGAGTATGGATAGAGAGTAAAAGAATAAAGAGAAAAAGAAGAGTAAAATGAAATTATATATATTAGTGATTAAGTTTATGAAAAGCAAGATCAAGATTGGCATTTGAAATAGTTTCTGAAATAGAAGAATTAATAATTTGGGATAAGAAATTATAATAAGAAAGGAGTACCAGTGAGAAGAAGAGTCAGAAAGGTTGTATTAAAAAAAGTTAGAAGATAGAAATATGTTAGGTGATATAGAATGAAAATAAGAGTGTATAGGTAAACTATTGAGTAATATTTTAATTTTGAAAGATTTAAAGTGACTAAGTTTAGAATTGGTGAAATTGTATGAACATTTATGATTATTGTTAAAGCATAACCATGTAGAATTCTAGTCAATAAGGTTGAAAAAGTGTGACTATTTATCAGTATATTTTTAGAAGGACCACATAGAGATAGTATTAGCATTGCAGATATTTTTAATAGAAATAATTTATTTACCACCCAGATGAATTATTTATCCCCTTATCATTTTTTTTTAAATAAAATCAAACCTAAGACATTAGCAGGTTAGGGTTGAGTACATTATGTGTAAAATCATATAAGGAATCTTTTTTATTAGAACCTAAAGAGTAGTTTCATAAGCAAAATGGTGAAATATTGGCGATTTTTAAAAAATTATTTTTGTTTTTGTTATACAAAGATGATTTACATATTACACATGTTATATCTGATCTTGCATATTTATTGAATAATCTTAGAGGAGTGAGTAATATTAAATCTCACCCTGAGTGAGGAATAAATATACTCTATTATAAAAACATTATTATTATATTTTAAAAACAAAATAAAATAAGCTTATTAAAAATGTTTTTAAAACATTATTTTAATTAATATAATTAAAAATAGAGATAATTTATACATCTCATATGCGATGTTACTGCATCACCTGCAGATTATAAAATTGGGTGTAACATGAAATCAAAATAAACTATTTTTTGTTAGTTAGAGTTAGGATGAGGTAAGGTTAGTGTTAGGGTTAGTGTTAGAGTTAAGGTAAGAGTTTTTTATAGTAAAATTTTGTAAGGAATTTTTTTTGTTAGAATATGAAGAGTATTTTCATATACAAAGTTTTGAGTTATAGACGATTTTTGATAAAATGAATGTTTGTTTTGAATTTTCTAATTGTGCTATGTTATATCTGATCTTAAAATTTGATTGGTCGATCATGTGAGAGGCGATAAATTAGTGCCACTGCAGGGTGCAGTGAATAAATATACTCTTAAAAATATTATAAAAACATTATTATTATATTTTAATACCAATTTAAAATAAGCTTTTTAAAAATGTTTTTAAAACATTATTTCAATATTATTAAAAATATTATAAAAACATTATTATTATATTTTAATAATGATTTAAAATAAGCTTTTTAAAAATGTTTTTAAAATATTATTTTAATATTATTAAAAGGATAAATCTATTGATAACAGCCTGTTATATAATAGCCTATATCTAAAATCCTTTATAACACAAAATTTTACTAATAAACTTGCTTCAAATATACTAATGAAAAATGATCCTCTTGTGATTTTGTATTAATCTTAATATAAACTTTAAATCTAATTAATACTAACCCTAGCACTAACACTAACTCTAAACTTAACATTAACAGGCTATTACATAACAGGCTATTACAAATAGATTTTTTCTATAAATATAATTAATTTGTTTTTAAAATGGGTTAAAAATAGTTTTAAAACATTTTTAATAATATTATTAAAATAGTTTTAATATATATTGTTTATATTATTATTATTAAATTATAATTATGTTTTTTAAAGTATAATAAAAATATAATAAATATATAATAATAATATTTTTTATTTTTTTATAGTTTCAGTAATCATGTATTTTAAAAACTCTTTCTAACGATCATTTGAACTGAATTTCCTAACAAAAAGAAAAGTCTTTTCAATACTGGAGAGTAGCAATAACCTGTAGTGAGGTGATATCAACAGGGTAGTTTTTATAAAGGTTAATCTTCTCTACCTGTCGGGGACTCCTTTATATATTTGACATACAAGCCAGAAGCATCAGTATACAAGATAACTGGCAGATGATAGTGCCTTTGTATACAAAATTTTGGTGGATAGGTGGAGGTGATAAAGTCCAAGCCTTCTGTCGACAAAGCTATTAGTTGCAAAACAACTGGGGAACAGTAAAGAATAGGTTTTTTTTAAGCCGCTCTCATTTATTTAGTCAAGTGGTTCTTTTTTTACTTTCTTTCGTCTCCTTGTCAGTCTTCCAAAAAATTTCGATAAAAAGTAGGGATTTGGCTTACCTCTTCCAAAAGATTGGTATTGTTTACATCCCAAATTTGGATGAACTAGCAGAATGCAACCACGTGTTTGTTTATGGACGGATACGGCGCTATTTCATGGGACTTAGCCTAGAAACTCTAATTACGGCAGTAGGTGGCTTAAGATACAAGTCCTTTTTGGGTTAGAGTAAGTGTAACCCTCAGACAATAGCAGCACCTGGCTTGAGATACAGATTAGAACGGGCAACTAAGTAATTTGGTGTTGGTAGGAAGATTGGAAAGTGACTTTAACGCTAGGGTAAAGCCTTACAGAAGAGATATACAAGCATTGTATTTGTTATATAATTTTTACCAGCCTTGTAGGGTTATAATAGTGCCTTTAGGATCTTAGATTTCTTTTTATGTTTTTTCTTTTTCATAATCTGGTTTTCTTTTTTCTTTTGTGCTTTTTTCAGTTTTTTCTTTGTTGGTCATTTTTATAGTTTTTTGTTTTTTTTTTAAACTTTTTCCCTCTTTGTCTCATGCCCCTTGAGAAAAAGAAAGAATTTTAAGAGAAAGTGAGGTCTTGACGAGTTGGGTCTGAGCCCAAGCTATACTATATCTCTGCGCTACACCACATGGGGGTATAGTGGCAATCATTAGTGCGATAACCAAAGTTGGGCATCTCTATGGGACAGCCGGCTTTTAGTCTAATCAAACATTAAGTGTTTAATCTTGTATTGAATATCAAATCTTAATAAACTTTTAGTACACAGTTATCAAAGGAAAAAAAAAAAAAAAAATAGTTTCAGTAAAGAATTTCATTAATAATTATAATTCTCACAGTATACAAAAAACTGTAAACATAATTTCAAGCTGGAGCATATTTCAACTCCAAAAACCTAATGAGAATAAATACTTGCCCTTCTTGATAATACTATATCACTTACTAGATCAAAAAAATACAAAAATCCAAGCGATATTAGGCACAAAATTAACCAAACAAACAAAGATACCAATACTAACCACAAAAACTAAATCCAAGACCTTTCTTAAATAGCTTCTATCTACCAACAATATATGGATACACAATCTATAACTCCCTCAAAAGACTTCTTCAAAGACATATTCAAGGCCATTAACCTAAACAAGTGAATACAACAAAATAGAATACAGCAATGAGCAAGTGTAAGCAATCCAATCAATTGGCAACTCACATTTATTTTACTAAATTGGGAAAACAAACCCAATCACAAATACACTAACACAGCAGCATCCAATACCAAGAATTTTAAAATTAAACTTATAACAAATGAATTACCAAATCACCTAATTTTACACCAATGTAATTCTAAAAGCAATGTACCTTCCATCAAGAGAACAACCAACACTGGATAACATGTCCAGCAAATATGACAAAATGGCATTCAATTATAAGAGATTTATTAAATGAGATTATAAATCAATATAATATTACACTAACTAACTTTACACAAACTGTTAATCAATTTAGTCAAATATATATAAATAATACACTTCCGCTAGGCATAATTATATCCAAGACAACTCTACCAACACAAAATAAAGCAGCAACAGCAAGAAATAATAAAGAGAATCCATCAAGATATTTGGAAACCAAGCAAGGCAATACAATATCAAACAGCAAACCCTCCAAACCCAATATTGGGAATAACCCAAAGAAAGCCCAATATTGCTGACAAACATATAAGAATAATTAATTAGATTCATCAATATATTATGAATAACTCTAAACCAATCAACATTGCAAACATAGTCTAGAGGTCCTTGACCAGTCTAGCTAAGATTAGGTCTAAAGTAAAGTAGCTTTATTCTCCATCTATAATTAGAATTCTAAATTATACTGTTGTAATATACATGTAATTAGAGCTACAATTCTATTTTTTAGAACTATCCGGATTGAATCTGTGTTCTCTTCCATGAATTTGGTTATAATTCGAATTGAGTAAATTTGAATTTGATTCAAATTCAATCCAGAAAAATCATTAATCAACTGATTAAAATTGCGAATTTTAAACTGGTAAAAAAAATTTTTTTTTAATATATATATTTAATTTTATTTTATTATTATTACCAGATATAAAACTCATCATTAAAAGACAGATTAGATTTTAATGTTTTTATTACCATACCCTGCAGAATAAAGATGAATAATTAGCATTTTCAAAACTTCCTTGCATAATACATAATATCATGTAAGTTTTGGCCAATTATCGATGTAATATACAAACAATAATTACAGTAAATAAAGTAAAATAATCATTCTAACAGCTCTTTACAATATTCTAATATCTCTTTATAGTTAGTAGAGTTCAAATCTATCATCTATATCTAAATTATCCTGATAATCAGATCACTCAGATATCTGAATAATCTTAATATCAATAATAAACGAATATCTGAATAAATTCAGATCCGAATATCTAATAACTATCTTTAACAAATCGAACCTCTAATAGTTAGTGTTATGATGAGAAAGTTTGTATTATAAACTGGATGTTTGTACTATATACAGTATTAAAATTTATAAAGAATTTTTTTTTTGCCGATATGCCTATCACTAATATTATACATATGTTAGTCTTTTTAACAATTTATCTAATTCACAATCTACATATGCAATTTTTATATTAATCTTTAACTCAACGATGAAAATAGAAATGTATGCTGATGCAGTATAATACAATATTTATTAATTAAAAAAATTTTTGCTATTTTATTAATTTTCTTTTGGTGATAGACTGGTGTGAGAACTAAAGAATTTATAATTGTTAAATTGAAATAAAACAATAGAATGGTTTATTGTTTTTCTGTTTTGTCTGTTTTGTCTTTGTTATTATATTCATGATATGAATTTCAATCTGATGCATAAATTTGACTCCTAATAAACATAATGCAAAACAAATATTGCATAAAAGAACTGTGCCACAGATAGACGTATTGAAGATCAATATATAGATTTTTTATCTTAATATTTTTTTATCATAAAAAAAAAATAAAAATCAATTTACTAGTAGGGTGGCTATACCACAAAAGCAGTCTATAGCAGTGTTGGCACATTGTTATTTTAAAACAAATAACAGCATGTCATATGACAAGTCATTTTTGTTATAAAAAAAAATAAATTATTTTTTATAACCATATGTCATTTATATGTTATATAGTTTTTATTAACCAATAAAAATCAATAAATATATAACTAAGTAATATATATTACAAATCTTTAGTAATATAAATTTACAAAATTAATTCTGCATTTAAACTTTACAACATTATGAGATTATTATAATATAAACTTGGGTGAATCACTAATAAAATTATCTTGTTAGTAAATTGAAACAAAAAATCAGTAAATTGATTGTCAATAAAATAAACTACTAATTTTTTACTTACATACTGTAGGTTTCCGAAAATAAGCTACCCTTTTTTGGCCAAAAAGTTATACAAAAATCTTGGGGGTAGCTTATTTTCGGGTAAAATTTCAAAAAGGTTGATTTTTATTATTTTTTTAAAATTCAAAAGTAGTTTCTATATATAAAAGTCAAATTTTACTAAATAAATCTATAAAAGTCACTTAATAGGGGTTGTTCAGGACGTAAAAATACACATATTCTGAAAGTTTGAAGCAAATCGGAGAACTTTTTACTAAAATGTTTTTGAATTTTACGTTTGAACGTAAAATGCAAAAACATCTTAGTAAAAAGTTCTCCGATTTGCTTCAAACTTTTAATATATATGTATTTTTACGTCCTGAACAACCCCTATTAAGTGACTTTCATCGATTTACTTAGTAGAATTTGACTTTTATATATATAAACTACTTTTAGATTTTAAAAAAATAATAAAAATCAACCTTTTCGAAATTTTACCCAAAAATAAGCTACCCTCGGGATTTTTGTGTAAATTTTTGGCCAAAAAAGGGTAGCTTATTTTCGAAAACCTACGGTAGTTATCTTTCTGAAGTTATAAGTATATTAATTGAAGAAAAGTTATCTACAACTAATAGCATTGATGTTTTTGTTGCAAATACAGGGTCGAACGATCATTGTAACAAATGCTGCCTTATCTGTAATGAAAAAAATATTGATAATAGAAAGCAGGTCTGCCCAAAATGTACTGCACATCTCCCTACGTTAGCCGAATTGCAACAACAACAAGTTTCTAAGTTAAAAAAAGATAAAGATAATAAGGACTATCCGATTATATTTAAACCCTACAATATTGAAGAGGAATTTAACTCGTCTACTGTATCAAGAATAAGTATAACTATCACCTGATAAAGGGGTTAAAATTTCAGAAATTTTTGTGTCTGATCCCCTTAACACTAATCCTAACACAATTGCTAACATTGAAGAAATTCTTCACCATATAGGAAAAATTTCGGAAATTAAGGATGAAATATGAAAATGGGTAGTCATTATATGTGACGGTATTCCATATCATTATGCAACTAAAATAAAGTATAAGTTTCCATGGCTAGTCCTCATTCCTGGACCATTGCACGAAGAGATAAATATGCTACGAGCATACGTGGAACTAAATTGGTAAGCCCGTGTTATTTCAATTAGTACTAGTATGGGTGAAAATGTTCAATATTTATGTTTTATATTGCTTTGGTGGATGATTTATAATATTTTGTAGTTTTTTTTTTTTTTAGTTAACAATCACAGTCAAAATTAAAAAATTCAGCACTCTGAATTTTTTAATTTAACTTGTAGAACAGACATTCCAATTGGGTATTTTTGTTTGATCAAAAATTAATCATTAGTTCAATATCATATTTTTATATTTATATTGATATTTTATTTTAAAAGGAACATAGATCTCAAAGAATTCGCAAAATGCCAGGGATACAAAACGGAAAATCAACTTACTTATTTTAAAAAATGCCACGACCATCATAAGGCTTGGGATTCTGTGTATAATATTTATCGCCAAGCAATAACTATGGAGTTGGTTTGGCCATACGTTAAAAATAGCTCTAACCCATCAGTAAAGGGATACTTGGCCTGGGCAAAAGAACAAAAAGATCTTCTTTATCAAATAAAATTTGAGCAGGTATAATTTTATAATTATTATATAAATCATATTTCTCAAAATAGGTTCTAAATTAATTCATTATTATAGGTTTTTTATTACTTGCAAGCCATTATTAACTATAGAATGGCTATAAGAAAAAATAATCCAGCGTTGAAAAGAGCCGCGAGAAGAGTTTTTTCACCATTATGGTCAGCACGACACCATCCAATATATCATTTAATAGAAGTCTCAAATGAAATACAATTGCTGCAGCTTGATCTGTCAATAAGGGATATTGTAGAAAAAAATAGTACCATCTCTAGGTCAGGGCTTATCAATCAACACCAAGAATTGGATGCTATTTTAGAAGAAATAAATAAGACCTTAAAAACACTAATACCACCTACTCCACAACTACATCATTGGGAAATCGCCGCAAGAAACTGCAAAAAATTCCTCTAGATAAATACTATACTTACTTGAGTATCAAAGTATTTAAATTAACTAACTTAGATAATAAAAATCTAGTTACAGAATAATTTTTTCGGATTGATTGGGCATAATGATTCTTAGGTGAATAGTCCAAGAACCCGGCCAGAACCAACAACCGAATGTCAAAGATTCCAAGTTCATTTAAGAAAATATAATTTTGTTGATCCAACAGATTCAAGAGCTGTTTGTAAAAGTTTGGGAGAGGAAAATAAATTAAGTACAGAGTTATCAAATTTTACAAGTTTAGCAAAAAAAGCTTGACAAGAATATATTATTAACGTTTTTGTTAACAATAATTCTGCACCTTTATTTAGGCCGATTCCAATTACAAAAGAAGAAGCAAATGCGCAAAAAAATGAAGGTAATATGAAAAAAGATGAAATTATCTTCAAGATCAAAGCTCTTTTAGAATGCTTGGATAAAAGTGTTCGGAAGAAATATAGCAGATTAAAATCTAAAAGGCGCGATGAATTATTAGCTATATTAACAAAGGTAAGGTCTTTATTTGATTCAGATTCTGAACATAATAACTGTGATTAACTACAATTAGACAATAAGGTTGGGCTCGAATTTAAATCAATTGAGAAAGTGCATTTGCTTTTTACATTCAATTACAATTTTATATTACTTATATAATTTAGGAAGTTATTCAGATCTTAAAGAAAAATTATTTTTATATTTAATTCTGTAATTTGATATATGTTATCTTTTAAATTATTTAATTATATTTTAATATTGATTTAAAAAAAATACTGTATTCTTAAAAATTTTATTTTTAATAAATGAGTTTAACAAAAATATTACAAAATTTTGACCACCAATTGCACATTTATTGTTAATGTTACTGATAGCCATTGAAGTTGATATATATAACGATAAATTTAGAATAGATTAGCTGAATTGTACAAATTGGTTACGAGAATATGTTATACTTATGGGAAACAAAGAATTTCAGAGTTAACTTATTTTGAAAATAGGTGAGAGTTTGAAAAGTTTTATTTTTATTTTGAAATCTCAAATTAGAAAATGAAATAGGTGTTATCTAGAGATAAAATAAGCAAACTTTTTTTGGTGATGTATATTATATCTTATTATATAAATAAGCCTACAAAATACAAATAAATAGGATTTATTAATCGCTGGTTATATAATAAATACATCGCTAATTTAATTTGAAACCTGAATTTGGCAAACATGCAACGTGTTATAATGTTCTATATATTGAGAGATTTCAAGTTCGGAAATAAGAGTCTAAACCAAAAGAACGATCAAATAAGAAAATAAATAAAATATAAGTGTCTGGAAACTTTCATTTTAGACTTTAAAAATTCAGAAATTCATGGCTCAGTATAAATCGTTAGGGATAAAATTAATCTTCAATTTTAGCCAATCAGAATTCATGTTAAAGTTTTTCGAGAAATTTCTGGAATCAAACCGATCGTCACTTTGATACCATAATAGGTGCGATCTTCATTGTCCATATTTGGTAATGTGCCCGACTGAAGTGCATGCACTTATAGAGGTTTTACACATATATAAAAAAAAGTTTTATTTATCCCGTTTTTCAGATAGACTGCATGTGAAAAGGTATGCCCAATCAAAAGCAAGAATTTGTACAAATACTTTATTTTTCATAAAAATATACAGTAAGACCTCCCGAAGTGCACACTCTATAAGTGCACGCCCATGTAAATTCTTTCTGAATGCACAGCATAGCTTAGCCCCAACTTATAAGAGCACTATATATTTTGTTCTTTATAAATGCACACACTTTTTAAGTGCATATTTTGCTTTTTTTTTTTTACAATGGTCCCGAGGGGGGTTCACTTATGGAGGTCTTACTGTAGTTCTAGTAATAATTTTTATAATTTATAGCTTACCTTACATTGTAAACTAAAATGTAACTTACATTAAATTTTTATAACTTGCACAAAATGCCCAACCCTAACTGTAATTAATAATAAATTATAAAAACTTAATACTCCTAATTTTTATCATGTTTTTTTCGACTTTTAAATTATAATCTTGATTTTACACATTTAAAGTTTAAAAGTTAGAAAAATAATCAGAATATTTTGTTTTACATGACTAGTCAACTTTTTTTTATTAATAAATCGTGACATTAAGCTTTATTATTAGCTACATCCGACAGGATGAGAAAGTCACAGATGGTAACAACCTATGTGATCTTATATAAGTAGATTCTAATCGTTTATCTAACTATGTGAAAGTTTTATATAAAAATATATGTAAAAATATTACGGGCTATGTGTACTGGTCCAATTAGGTTCGGATGTGATATAGCAAATTTACTGTGTAATAAATATAAGTTATTTGCACTTAGTTCGGGTCGGTATGTGGAGGTTCGGTATAAAGAGAGTCGTTTGTATGTTGATCTAATACCAAAAGAATCGCCAGTAGATTACCAAAGAAAACACCGCCACTATGAACAGTATAGGTCCGTACTTGCGATAAAGAAGCTGTAGATTAAGATCATGAGCAGTTTTTTTATATTTCTGGGATTCATAACGAAGTTGATCAGAGAGGGAACTCATTTCTTGTAATTGATAAGAAAATTATAAAAAAAATATATTTTTTTTTTTAAAAAAAAGAGAACAATTAATCAGCTAGAAATTTTCAGAAAATTATCATTCATTTTTAAATTAATAGATATCGCTTACTTTCTAATCCTTCACCACGCCACAAGACGCTTTCCAAATTTTTAGTCATGATATTGGCTACCTCATTCAGTTCGGTATTTAGTCGCTCAATATTGTGTTGCGTTCGCGTATTTTGATAAACCTTTTTTGTTTTTTGCATAAAGGTATCTGATTATGATCATACCGCATAAGCATTAGTGGTCAACATTGTCAGGATTTCCAAACCAAACACGTAAATCACGTAAATTCTCAATTCTTCAAAAGGCTCGGATAGATAGATTATATGTACCAAATTTAACAAAAGCATATGGTCTTAAATTTTTCTTTTCGACTTCATTCCCATAACTCATTGAAAATTCTTTGGCAAGTTCTTCCAAGTAACTAAAGGCAAATTGACGAGGGTATGACCGATCGCAAATTGTCATGTAACAAACGCCATTTTGGATAAGGTAGCTGTTATTGAAAATTAAAACATATAATTCAGTGTCAGGAACCTGTAAATTTTCAGTAAAAATAAAAAGCGTTTACATACTGAAAATAATAACTTCCTGATTCAATTGAACATCTCTCCTCAGAGTTTTCATTCATTTTTTTGAAAAGAAGTTTTGCTTTATTTTTGTAATCTGCGAGTTCAGCCTCCCCATTCTAGGATGTATATTATGAGCAGTTATTTGTTTAAATATTTATTGATTTATTATTATTTTTTTTAAAAAAACAAAAAAGCTCTCGCCAGACGGTACATGATTTACGCAATTTTTTTATATAAAGCAAAGACGGATCTACTCTTACCTGATCATCGTCTACCGAGGCTGCCAATGGAAGGCCTAATGATGAAATTTCCTGTTTAGTACTTTTAAAGGTGGCGAACAAATTAAGATTCAAATTAACCACTTGCCATCAGAAATACGAGCGATGACTGTATGTTTAACCATTTCAATAGTCAAATATATACTAATTTTAAAGTCTATTCGAGAAATTTTAACTTGGCTTTCTTATGAGAAAAAACGTTACGACATTGCTACGACTATTTAAATAGAAAATTGTGGTAGATGTCAAAAAATGATTGGTTTAGTTTAGCCAAATTTTATTTATTATTAAAATAAAATTGTTACAGGTCCTGCCGAGAATCGAACTCGGATCGCAGGATTCAAAGTCCTGAGTGATAACCATTACACCACAGGACCGGAACATGAGTTTGCTACTCAATCTTAATTTATTGAACATAATTATTTCTATTTAGGTCGATATTCTAAAGAACAGATGAAAATCAGTCACGCGGCATAAGCGTGACATAAATTTTTTTTGCATAAGTCAAACCAAGTATCATTTTCCAATCGACCTTTTTTTCGAAATTCTCGACCATCAACATGAGGTAAATTTTATTACATTTTCTTTCTCATTCTCGAAAACCTTACTAAATGTTCATTTTATAACCCTTTTTTTAAAAATACTAGGATCGAGAGTGATTCCTTCTCTAGTAATAAGATCTATCCGGGCAAAGGCAAACTCTATGTCCGACAAGATAATAGGGTTAGAATTATATCCTCTTTTTCATAGATAGGTTCAAATTAATTTAGATTTGACCATATGATTATATCATAAATCATCGAGGAAGTCGAAAACAAAAAAAAAAAATTGGATTTAAATTTATTGTATTCACTCAAATTCAATCTAGATTTTCCGATTCGTCGGATCAAAAACCGAATCTCTATTCCTCCAACGATTGAACCCACGTAAAATCAGTTGGACACAAGTATATCGTCGTATGCACAAGAAAGGTATAACCGAGGAAATTGCCAAGAAGCGTACTCGTCGAACGGTTAAGCACCAACGAGCAGTTGTTGGAGCATCATGGGAAGTCATCAAAGCTAAACGTAATCAGAAACCTGAAATGAGAGAAGCTGCTCGTGCGCAAGCCCTTCGTGAAGCTAAAGAGAAAAAAAAACAAGAACAATCGAAAAGAAAGGCTGAAAAAGCTAAGGTTATTATTTTTATAATAAATCCTATCGAAAATTTTTTTTTTGATTTAAATATGTTTTTTTTTCTATGGCAATTTTTCTTATTTAGGTTGCACAAGCAGCTTCTCGCGGACAGCCTAAAATCTCAAAACAACAAGCTCGTGGTGCTCAGGCAAAAGTATCCGCTAAGAGTCGCTAAAATCAATTGTCATCCTGGCAAATAATGAAAAAATCGGCTAAAGCCAATTTTCTGTCTGCTTAGCGATTGATTTTTTTCAAATCGGCTCATCAATTTTTTATAATTATGATAATTCACGCATAAGATTTTGTCATTACAAAAAAGTTGATTTTTTTGTATATAGATTGCAATAACAAATAATCGTTATAATAAACTGTTGATGAAAACTTTAAAAAAACTTTGTTCTTGGCGTTAACTATTACTATTCGTTAGAGATTTGTCATATGATTGATTGTATATTACAACATATAAGGAGCCAATAAAATTGAGGATCGACAACTATTCGCCAAAGAATGCTTTCATTGTGAAGCCACTTCGCAATAACATTGCGAATGAAAAACCAGCCAGGCTAGAATCGCATAATTTTGGAGAGATACACGAAAACTGGCAAAGCCGATAAATGTTGAACGGCCAGGTTTACCATATAGTGCAGGTCATCTTAGAAAATAATTATTACACGGGTTTTTCCTAAATTATAATACGTAAAATAGTTGCCTGTTACCATTTGATATCGATATATTATCCTCCTACTGTCCTAAAGCACCAAAAGTATAAAAGCATATGATCATGATTGCCGATCCTTCCTTTTTATTAAAAAGCAATATAAGAATTTCCATCAAAATTTGAATTTTTATCGCCATGTTATCTTCGCGTTTTAATTCGCGGTGTTTTTTATTAATGAATTATACTAATGCTATATATAGATCGTTTTCAACCTCTTCTGTTTTACGTATTTCTTGTAATTTGCCATTAAATACGAGTTTTTTCAAATCCTATGAGTATGTGGTCAGTGAAGACGAAGCTAATATGAGACTTGACCGATTTCTTAATTTTAAAACTGGTCTTCCAACTTCTGTAATACAAAAAAAAATTCGAAAAAATGAGGTTTCTTATCGGATTAATTCTAATCTGTTTTGCTCTTTACGAATTTTAAAATCAATATCCGCATTTTTTTTTCTAAAAAAAAAAATAATAATAAAAATAAAGATAAAATTGAGAGAAGGAGCGAGAAAAAGCATTGAGATTAATGAAAATATATCTGATGGCAATATACAACCTAAACAAGGTTCAAACATATCCCGAAAAGTTTGTCTAGGTGATATTGTTTCTATAAGAAGTCCAGATTTGTTTCGGGAAAGGAAAATCATAAGTCCAACGAGAAGATCTATCGAGGTGATTTCTTTATTAAAAACTCTTAATTTTCAAGTACTAATTTTTATTTGAAATAGTCTTTTAGTGCAAAGGAAATTAAATCTATTAGATCAATGATTCTATATCAAGATGATGAAATATTGGTGATTAATAAACCTCCTGGACTTGCCACTCAAGGTAATAATCGCTTTGCATAATAAATTAATTAAACACACATGTTGATATTATTTGTTTAAGAACATGATAAACGCTTGACGCTTCGCAATTTCATGTTTAGGAGGCATCAAAACATATGATCATGTCGATGGATTATTACACGGTATTCATTCATATTTGATTTTACAAATATTAAAAAAATTATACAGTATATTATTACTTATATTATTAAACCGACGCGTACCTAGCATTGCAGTTTGATTATTCTGAACCGCCACGTTTGGTTCATAGATTGGATAAGGTGTCAAGTCAATGTGTAAACGCAGTGGTTTGACCCGGGTGGGCGGGTAACCCGATTTGAAATATCACCACTCGGGTGAGGGCGAGTGGGTCAACCCGCGTGAAGAAACGAAGGCCACATCGGAAGTTTCGGAATAATAGACAGTCAACGAACGTAAAATACAAGCAAGGTCGACGGAGAGTGGAAATGAATATATTTTTTTTTACAGCTGTTTTCATAAATTCTTGGAACTGAAAAAATTCCTGATATCCGATAGCTTCTGAGTTTGGCGCCGATTCGATAACTTATCGATTAGGTTATCGGCAATTTTTTGTTCCAAAATTTATGAAAACAGCTGTAATGATGCGTGTACCACCCGGTAGCTTTTTCATATGACCCACCGAATGACGGACGGATGACCTGGATGGGTGACATTTTTCATCTGACCTGATTTCCATTCGGGTACTTATAGCCCACCCGTCGGGTGGCCCGGGTGAGAATTTTTTAGTCCAACGGGTCACCCGGGTGAATAACTGACCCGGGTAACACATGGCCCACCCGACGGGTGGCGATTTTTTAGACGGGTCAAATCACTAGTCATTCCTATTTATTAAATTTATTTCATTAAGAAAGATTAGTAACACGGTTACTGTTTTTAATACAGGACACAACAGGAGCATTGGTACTTGGCAGAACTAGATCGGCTGCCGGTAAATTATCGTTCATGTTTCAAAATAGTACTATGGAGAAGATGGTAATATGAAATTTCATCATTATTAACTAATCCTTATGATATTCTCGCGATATCTGGACAATAATAATATCTTTGTCATAATAAATATAGTACACGGCGATAGTTACAAAGTTTCTTCCACGTGACATTAACAAAAAAAGAATAGACATTCCTATTTGTTACGGTGGTAAACCTCCTTTCGAAAAAGTGACATGTGTTACGGGTAGACTTATATCATTATATATATGTTTATAAATGTCGTTAACTTTATAACCCAATTTTCTCTTTTATGTTATTAAGATGCTGAATCACCTCTCATGGAAAAAGCCAAATATGCTACGACAGATTATCAAGTGATCGCTGGAACAGATGATTACGCTTTACTAAGATTATATCCCCAAACTGGAAGAAAACATCAGTTGAGAGTTCATTGTGCAAGTGTATTAGGAGGTAATGATTCAATCCATTTATTAACGACAATTCTTCGCATGATGACGAAAGACGAAACCTCTGACGAAAGTCGAAACCCCAAATTCTTTTGACGAAAGACGAAACCTTAAACTTAAAATGACGAAACCTTATGTATAATATAATATAGAATACTCTCTTTAAACAATTCAGGCGCCTATTACAGTATTATACTAGAGGTTGGATCCTTTGAATATCCATCATGGCCATTCAGTAAATATTCGCGGGTTTTGATGTTTACGAATAGCATTGAATGAATATCCAGATTTTGAATGGATATCCATCTATTATTGTAACCACGAATATTCACGCGATGAATATAAACGAATCAATTATATCAATTGGATATTCAATGAATATCTACTTCCAACCGTGAATATTCATGGATCCGACCTCTACGCCAATGTATCAAGTATTCGATTATTCGTGATATTCACAAAAAAATTTTTTGTTGGTAATTTCAACCATTCCGAAAACAACGATAATTAAACCCTTTAAAAAATAATAATTTACGTGAGATAATCGTTTATAATTTTTTATAGTTTAAGCAATGAGAATGTAATTAATGTATAAATTTAGACTAAGCTATCATAGATAAAGTTTGAATGTAATTATTATTAATTAAATGATTATATATTAAATAAGCTGCTAAATTTCAACCGAAAACCCCACAAATACTTTGAGGTACTTAGTTTCTCTCCACTTGTTTCAACCATCATGTAGAGATATTGGAAAGAACCAAACCATGAGAACTGGTCGTGGATTGGTTCTTAGGTTGTTTTCTAATCATGTGATCTGGCGTCGCTGCGTAACTGATACTTTTGTTGTCATATTCAACATACATGATTGTTATTTAAAATACTTTCGTATTTTATCAAATAAATTTACTTTAATTCAAGTTATCTACTAAAGAAAAATATAATTTCGAAAGTGAAAAAACGACGGAAGAACCGAAAAACAACGAAACACGAAAAGCGACAGCGCACCGGTGCGATAAAAAAAAAAACAGCACAAAAAATCGGCAATGAAATCTTCCGAAGGTGTTAATTTTTAATCAATTTTCGTCGCTTTCCTTTTATGGAGATATATCCAAGCTCGATGTAATGGGTAATACAGTATTTTCATTAGCGATGAGAAAAATTGCTCTTTAAAAAAATAATAATTGTCGTGGCTGAAGCTGGAAACCGGCTGATATAAAATTCACTTATACTCTTATTATATAAACTATCCCTAAATCCTAACCTAACTATTAATAATAAAAAAGCTAAAAAAAACGATAATTAAATTTCCGTGACAATAATTTTTTATAGGTCATTACTGCCACTACTATCTTCGATTTTATAAAGTGGTATTTGTACAATATCTGGTATTTCAATTTAGTAAATTTATACGTAAATACGTATATCTTTAGTAGAACACCAATCATTTGCCAATAATCTAGCCAGCACTAATTATAAATCAGGCCAATCCTAACTTAAATCAGGCCAACTTCAGCGAAATTGATTTTATCTTTTTCCTCTTTAAGTACGTACGCATATGAATATATGTACAGCATGACAATAATAAATAGAGTGCTTCCAATTTAATAAATTCCTTTTACTTGATTTAATAATCTAAATACTGATACACGTCACTCTCGATATGACGGAGACTAAGTAAAATTTAGATATAATGGATCAAGATTCAGATCCACATCATAATAAATACAACTTGATATAATGGATTACTAATAAAACTCACGATAAAGCGGATTTTAAAAATTCCTCATTATGTGCCCGAGTTACTACGTTATATCGCGAGTGACGTGTACACAAAAATAAGCAATAAAATTTGTTTAATTACAAGTAAATCAAGGTATCACAATTTCAATAGTTTGACTTCCTAAAAAGCATACATATAAATACATTAAAGCCACAGTTTAAAGCCAATTTAAGAAATAAATATCATTACCTGCAATATCTGCATTTACTATATTGACAAATTAAATTAATAACATATTATTACTCTTTTAAAAAATATAAATAAATGTTATTACCTGGTTTAGGGAGGTTTGAAAGATTCAAAAATCGGCTTGTATAAATAGCATGTGGATGTGTTTGGTATTTGAATAGTGTCGATTTAATTTGATCGTATGTTTCGTCTAAGTCTTCAATATTTCTAACTTGCTGATATAATTTGGTTTCTTTATTTTTCAAATCTTTAAAAAATTGATTCAGTGTATTAGCTAGTTCTCTAGCAGTTGGTCGATTTTGAGGTTCTGCATCTAAGCATTTATTCATCAGATCCAAAAGTAATTGAGGAACTTCGCATCTAATTTTAGGTCTAAAGCCACAACAAATTTTGATTGCTAGTTCATTATCATGTGGAATATCATGATATGGAGGATATCCAGTAAAAACTTCTGACATAATTATTCCAAAAGAATAAATATCTGATTTTTGAGTATATTCCTTCCCATTTGTATACAATATTTCTGGTGCAATATAGGGAAGTACACCATAAAATGCTTTGGAATTTGCGTCTTGTGACACTGGCCTACATAAGCAAAAGTCAGTAATGTAAGAACTAAATATATCTTGATTAACTATATTTCCGGAATGAAAATCTTTGTGCACTAAATCGGCTTTATGAATTGTGTCAAGCCCTTTAGCTATATAATATAGGTTGGCTATTTTAGAATTCCAATCTAATTCGTCATATTTACTATCTAACAAGTTTCGGAGACTTCCCTGCTTTGCATATTCCATAACTATCATGTAGTTACCATCTTTTGGGTTCTTAGTTATTCCATAAATCGCAATTGCCGAATCGCCCCCATATTTGTGATTTTTGACCTAAAAAATTAATTAGAATAAATAGATACTACATATTAATAATTATAAATTAAGATGCTTACTTCTTCTAAAAATTCTCGTTTTATGTCTTCAGAATTATCAAGACTTTTTAAACAAACTTCTTTTTGCGAACTTCTCTTCCATTCATTCATTCTTCTGTTGATCATATCCTATAATACATCCGTCAATCCATATTGCTTTAAAAACAGTACTAAAGCCTCCTTTAGTAATATATTTTATATTTGCAAATTTGCTAAAGGGTATCCATTCAATAATGTCTTTAAACTCTACTAAATTAAGTTGTATCTGTTGAATTAATTGATCAATGTCATGATTATTGCTTGTCCAATTATGAAATTTCTTCTCAAATCTTGATAGAATATTGAAAAATTATTAATATAACTATAGTTAAAGACTAAATTTAATAAATAATATATACCGTCTACCATGGGTTAACAATTATTAATTGCATTAGAATTATCATGATTTGAATAGTGGTTTACTATAAAAAATTTACGGTTACAGTACTTACTTGCTATAGTGATATAGATGCAGATATGTTAGGTTTGTATTGGACTTATCGTGATTTGCTGTAAAAAGTTCGTTACTGTACTTACCGACTATTGTGGTTGCATAAATGATTTAGATAATTTTATATTAATTTGGTATTGGATCTATCGAGATTTTATGTAAAAAATTCGGTTACTGTACTTACCGACTATAGTGGTTGCATAAATGATTTAGATAATGTTATGTTAGTTTGGTATTGGATCTATCGTGATTTTTATAGTGATTTGCTGGTTACTGTACTTACAGGCTATTGTGGTTGCATAATAATTTAGATAGGGGTATGTTAGTTTGGTATTGATTTGTATAGTGATTTATTGTAAAAAGTTCTGTTACTGCACTTACTAACTATTGTGGTTGCATAAATGATTTAGATGGGATCATGTTAGTTTGGTATTGGACTTATCGTGATTTGTATAGTGATTTTCTGTAAAAAGTTCGGTTACTGCACTTACGGACTATTGTGGTTGCATAAGTGATTTAGATAGGGTTATGTTAGCTTGGTATTGTGATTTTCTGTAAAAAGTTCGGTTATTGTACTTACGAACTATTGTAACATAAGTGATTAGATAGAGTTATGTTAATTTGGTATTGGATTTATCGTGATTTGTATAGTGATTTGCTGTAAAATGTTCAGTTACTGTACTTACAGACTATTGTGACGTAAGTGAGTTGATAGGATTATGTTAGTATGATATTGGATATATCGTGATTTGTATAGTGATTTGTTGTAAAAAGTTCAGTTACTGTACTTACAGACTATTGTGACATAAGTGATTTGATAGGATTATGTTAGCTTGGTATTGGATCGTGATTTGTATAGTGATTTGCTATAAAAAGTTCGGTTATTGTACTCACGTGCTATTGCGGTTGCATAAGTGATTTAGATAGGGTTATGTTAGCTTGGTATTGTGATTTTATGTAAAAAGTTCGGTTACTGTACTTACTAACTATTGTGGTTGTATAAGTGATTTAGACAGGGTTATATTAGTTGAATATTGGGCCTATCGTGATTTTCTGTAAAAAGTTCGGCTACTGTACTTACTAACTATTGTAACATAAGTGATTTAGATAGGATTATATTGGAACGTGATTTGTATAGTGATTTATTGTAAAAAGTTCGATTACTGTACTTACAGTCTATTGTGGTTGAATAAGTGATTTAGATAGGGCTATGTTAGCTTGGTATTGGACCTATCGTGATTTTCTGTAAAAAGTTCGGTTACTGTACTTACTCACTATTGTAACATAAATGATTAGATAGAGTTATGTTAATTTGGTATTGGATTTATCGTGATTTGTATAGTGATTTGCTGTAAAAAGCTCGGTTATTGTACTTACGAACTATTGTGTCAAATGATTTGATAGGATTATGTTATTTGATATTGGATCTATCGTGACTTGTATAGTGATTTTCTGTAAAAACTGTACTTACACACTATTGTGACATAAGTGATTTGATAGGATTATGTTAGTTTGGTACTGGATCGTGATTTTTATAGTAATTTTCTGTAAAAAAGTTCGGTTACTGCACTTACACGCTATTGTGATATAAGTGATTTGATAGGATTATGTTAGCTTGGTATTGGATTTATCGTGATTTGTATAGTGATTTGTTGTAAAAAGTTTGGTTATTGTACTTACAAACTATTGTGACATAAGTGATTTAGATAGGATTATGTTTGATATTGGATCTATCGTGATTTGAATAGTGATTTGCTGTAAAAAGTTCAGTTACTGTACTTACTAACTATTGTGGTTGTATAAGTGATTTAGATAGGGTTATATTGGTTGAATATTGGACTTATTGTAATTTATAGTGATTTTCTGTAAAAAGTTCGGCTACTGTACTTACAGACTATTGTGGTTGCATAAGTGATTTAGAAAGGGTTATGTTAGCTTGGTATTGGACCTATCGTGATTTTCTGTAAAAAGTTCGGTTACTGTACTTACTAACTATTGTAATATAAGTGATTTAGATATGGTTATGTTAGTCTGGTATTGGACTTTTTTGATTGTATAATGATTGCTGTAAAAAGTCGGTTACTGTACTTACAGACTATTGTGGTTGCATAAGCGATTTAGATAGGATATGTTAGTTTAATATTGTATCTATCGTGAAAGTTCGGTCACTGTACTTACACACTATTGTGACATAAGTGATTTGATAGGATTAAGTTAGTTTGATACTGGATCGTGATTTTATAGTGATTTTCTGTAAAAAGTTCGGTTACTGTACTTACACGCTATTGTGATATAAGTGATTTGATAGGATTATGTTAGTTTGGTATTGGATCGTGATTTGTATAGTGATTTGTTGTAAAAAGTTCGGTTACTGTACTTACCCACTATTGTGACATAAGTGATTTGATAGGATTATGTTAGTTTTATATTGGATCGTGATTTTTATTATGATTTTCTGTAAAAAGTTCGGTTAATGTACTTACGCGCTATTGTGATATAAGTGATTTGATAGGATTATGTTAGCTTGGTATTGGATCGTGATTTGTATAGTGATTTGCTATAAAAAGTTCGGCTATTGTACTCACGTGCTATTGTGGTTGCATAAGTGATTTAGATAGGGTTATGTTAGCTTGGTATTGGGCTTATCGTGATTTTCTATAAAAAGTTCGTTTACTGTACTTACAGACTATTGTGGTTGCATAATAATTTAGATAGGGATATGTTAGTTTGGTTTTGGACTTATCGT